AACTTATTTTCATCGTTGAATCATGAATGCCTCTTTTTCTTCAGTCTCAGAGGTACTGATGAGAATCCCAAGGAATATCTAGCTTGGTCTTCTTTGGGAAACGTCATTTTGCCAGGTTGAATTTTTAGAAGGGACCAAAAATTTAAACATGTTAAATATAAAGGTGTTTTGGGGATTAAAAAGAATCTTTATACTTGCTTTAGACCTTGCTGAAAACTAGATCGAGATCAAGAAATACCCTTACTTGATGGATGTGTTGACTAACCTTATGGTAGTAATCACTTACCAACATATGTGTATCAAATCATCACAATGTATATGTCAGTTATATCTCAGTAAAGCTGGGGAGAGCAAAGAAACTAGATAGGTAATTGCCTAGGGTTGGGGTGGGGAAGGAGATGGGAAGACTTGGGAGTAATAACTAAAGGATATGGGACTTCTTTTTGGAGTGATGAAATATTCTAACATTGAGTATAGGGATGGTTGCAAACTTGGTGACTATACTAAAACCATTGCATCATGTACTTTAAATGAGTGAATTGTATGGTATGTAAGTTACATGCTGTGTGATTTATATCTTAATAAAGCTGCCCCGCTCCAAAAGAAATACCCTTATTGAGTTAGAGAATGCATCTATTTAGCTTTTAGTTCTCAGAACTTTGTAACTCCCAAGTTCTAATGCATTTGACCTAAAATGCAAAGTTAGTTCAATTTTTACAATAAAAATTCCTAGAGGTTTCATAGACTTATTCATCTAGGAAAGGGAGGGGAGCTGCTCAAAGAAAAGGTGCAAAGGGATCATATTTGGTTGGTTACATGAGATTCTGAGTAAAAAAAACAACACTCAGGTGCCTAAGTGGTTGGAGGGAAATTACTCACGGCAACAGAGTGATTATCTTATTCTCAATAATCACAACAGATACAAAAAGTCTTATATAAAGAGCCCTCACTATATTTGCTTTTATTTAATCTTTATAAAAATCCTTTCATAGAGGAGAGGCAGATTTTTATCTCTAAAAGGAATGCCACTACAATATTGGGCATCGTTTGGAGTGATAGTAAAAAAAACCCCAAAAAGCATTACTTTCACTCATAGACACAGGCAATACTTTAGTGACTACTAGAGAGTAAAGGGGGAGGGGAGATGGTAGAAGAGGGTAAAGGGGGTCAAATATATGGTGATGGAAGGAGAACTGACTCTGGGTGGTGAACACACAATGTAATATATAGATGATGTATTACAGAATTGTACACTTGAAACCCATGTAATTTTACTAACCATTGTTACCCCAATAAATTTTAAAAGTAAAAATAGCATTATTTTCTTCACATCCTAAGCCTTGGTATTTGTACCTGGAAAACTCCCTACGTTTCTGGCTACTGTGTTTAAAGACCTAATAGAATTGGAGAAAATCCAAAACCTTTCAGTTCAATTCAGCCAAGCATTGTTTCAGTGCTGAGTCTGTGCCATTCACTGTCTTAAGGGATCCTGCAAAGAATATGATCCCCTGCTGGCCCTCAGTGAGCTCATAGTATAGAGGAGGAGGAGGATTGTGAGTAAGTGGTTATAATACTATGGGATAACATTAGTTGCAGAGAAAAGGGTTAGGAACAACTTTCCAAAGGGATGGGATAAGTGAATGAGGCTCTAAACGATGATAGGGTTTCATCAGGTGTACAAAGGGACCGACCAAGGATATTGAGAGAAAAGAAAGTACTCATATAATACTGAAGAGGTGTGAAATACCATGGTGTATTCAATATTCGTGGAACATCGTTGTAAGTGGTTGAAAACAAGGTGACAGAATTTTGCAGAGACTGATTAAGTCATCAGCAACACAAATCAAATTTGCATTGTTTTTTGTTTTTTTAAAAAGATTTTTATTGGGGAATTGGGGATGGGAACAGCGCTGGGGACTTGGGGGAAAGGGAACAGACAAGTTGCTGTCCTTTTGTTCTTCAGTCTAGTTGTGGAGGACATTGCTTCACTGGCCCAAGTTGGCACCATCATTGTGCTCTTCCTGGGCGAGGCAGATCAGTCGCTGGCTTCTGGATGGCCACTCACGGCGGCTGCTGGCTGCTCACGCTGGCTGCTGGCTACACATGGTAGCCCATGGCAACCAACTGCAGCAGGGGCTGCAGCCCACAACGTCGCCGGCAGCTCACGGCAGCCCAGCTCCAGGTTGAGCTGTTGTTCAGCATCTTAGCTTTAGAGGGCAGTGTCACTGGCCCTCATATGTGGGATCCGAACCGGGGACTTCTGGCATCCCAAACCAGCTCTTAACCAATGCACCACTTGGCTGGCCCTTGCATTGTTTTTTACTATCACTCTGGAGGTATCTCCTGACAGGAGAGATATCACATAAGAGGTCCCTGCAAGACTTCTAGGCAGGAGATAATAGGGGCCTGAATCCTAGAGAAGACTGTTGGGAGTGGAGAAAAGTCAGGTATGAGAGAGATATACAGTATACGGGATAAAGTACATGCTGAATTGGGTGCTTCATTTATTTTGGCTTAATAGAAGAAGAGATTGTTCAAATAGATAGGGTTAGAGGAACTGCATTATGAAGAAATGTTAAACTATATTAGATATTTCATCCTAGCGAGGTAAAGGCTGAGGAAGAGTAAGATAGAATTCCCACCTTGAAGTCTGTAAGTTGAATCTAGAGTGGATTATCAATAACAGCCAGAACTAAAATTTACCCCCTTACACATGGAAACAGTAAATATGGGGCCAATAAGAGAAATTAGTACTTCATGAAGCAGGCTTATCCATTTATGGAAACTTAGGTCCTCCTTCCCCAAAATAAGAATGTATTTGACATGTTTCATTAATTATAGGAAAATAAGCTTACATTGTTATTGAGAAATTAGACTGTTATGAATATGAACCTGATATTTTATTATCTTATTCTTCAGTAGGTGGTTTGATCAGAATAAAAATTTTGTAAATAGGTTAACTTCATAGAAAGTGATTATAGAAGCAATAAAAAAGAAAAACTGTAATGAGCTTGATGTTCTTGCAGGGTGGTTCTCACGCATTTTAGACTCACTCTTTACACTCTTAAAACTAATTGAGGACCCCAAAGAGCTTTTATTTATATAGGTTATATCTATTGATACTTATTTTTAGAAATTAAAACGGAGAAAATTTTAAAATATTGATTAATTTTAAAATGAAAATATTTATCCATTACATATTAACATAACACATTTAATTAAACATAACTATTTTCCAAAGCAGAAAAATTTAGTGAGAGGAGTGGCATTGTTTTGCATTTGTGCAAATCTCTTTAATTAGCTTAATAGAAGACACCTGGATTTTCACACATACTTGCTTCTGCATTGAGTCTGTTATGATATCACCCATCATGTAACTTCTGGAAAACACTGCACACCCAAGAGAAATGAGAATAAAGAAAGCAAATGATGGTGATTATGAGAATGTTCTTGACCTGGTGGATCCACTGACAATAGTAGTCTGAGAACCACTGTTCTTGAGGAAGCAGAAATTTTTTCTTACATACATTAAAAAAAGTATTACTTTACTCCCACTCCACCCTTTTTGGAAGTAGATGCTGCTAAGAATATGTTCACTATTATTCACTGGCTTTGTCCTATACCCCTAAAGGTCTGTGATCCATTTACAGACTAATAAAGTCAAGTGCAAAGCAGAATTTGTTAGTCTTCTGTGACCTTTTTCTCTTCCTAGACCATATTCCCTCTGTTTTTTTCTGCAGAACTTCTCACTTTATTGATAAACTGTAAAGGCATCTGTATTTTTTGAACTGGAATGTGAGGAGGGGGAGTAATACCATCATTGGGGCCCTTTCTTTATATTCTGGGACTTTCTTTATATTCTGGAGGATAACCAGACTATTACCTGGAATCTGGACTCTGTCAAAATGTGAAACCAGACACTGATGACCAGTTCCTGGAGGGTTGCTTAGAATGGTCAAGAATCATCTCTAGAAAATATCAACACTTCAAAATGTATTTCACTTTGGAAATACATGAGTCTAAAAATAGTCTCTTGAGTCTCTCTACCTTTTGTTCATCAGATACACCATTTATCTTCTCTCCTTTTTCATTCTCCATTAATACCAACATCATTTGATTCCAAACACAGTGACATACCTGTGTCCAATAAAAATCAAGTGTTTGATTTCGTGAAGGTATCTGTAGAATCTCACCATTCTCACTGCCACCACCCAGTTCTGTCATTTCTATTTAAACAACCTGTTGGCCTTTTGACATGAGGCTCTTCTTTTCTCAGTGCCTGATTCAGTTTTCCCAGACACCACTATTATCATGACACTCCTTTACTAAAAAAATTTCAGTGGTGTCTTAATTTGTACCATGGTACAAATCTGCTTTATCTTTACTCTCCTTCCACTTTCCCATGCACCCTTAATCTAAAATATTCCACAGTAGTTAGTCCAGTCTGTTTTGTTAAAATCCCGTGAACACAGGCTATACATTTCTCACTCCTGTGTTTGCCTTCATGTTATTGCCTTCATATTGTTCCTGTTTTCCCCCCTTTTATCTAACTAAACCCAATGAATTCTTCAGAACTCAATGCAAAACCAATCCCTATAAATGGTTTTTTGCCTGTCTAATCTGTCAGCATTGATTTCCCTCTCCTTTGAAACAGAGTAGTATAATATCTGAAATTTGTAGCACATAGTTTGGTATGTAATTACATATCATTATTAATTTATTTTGTTTCAGTTATGTTAATTTTTTTTCTCCAAACAGGTCACAAGTTTCTTGAGAACGTAGTTTGAATTTCATTCTGAGAAAGACCAGATTCCTTGAGCAACTGCCCAATGGTTTTTTCCAACGTTATTCTCTAAATTATTCCTGTGCTAGTTAAGTTGAATTGGTCTTAACATCTGGGCAGAAGTTCAAGAATGATAAATAATATATAGCATAATGTTATGTCCAAGTATAGATAAGTACTTATACTTATTCTGAATTTGTCAAACTTTATCTTATAGCTATTTCTGCATTTGAAGTTCAGCCAATTTCTACTGAGGTCCAAGAAGGTGGAATTGCTAGATTTGCATGCAAGATTTCATCAAACCCTCCTGCAATCATAACATGGGAATTAAATCGGACAACTCTACCTGTAACTATGGACAGGTAAATGCAGCTTTTGTCTTTGGAGATGACACAGGAGTAATGAAGACGTCATCATGGGACTATATAGGGGAAAGACCATTACGGAGCCCCTTTTCTTTTACAGTAGCAATAATCAACTTCTTAAAAGACATTTCAAACTGGCAAAGAATTAGATCATTAGTCACTGGCACATGGGACATAATTCCTGTTTTTTGGTTCAGCTCAGAATTCAGACAGCCTATCTTATTGCTTCATTCTTTTCCAACCATGGGAGCCCCTGAGTACGTGGACTGCAACCCATGGATTTCGGAAACCAAATTACACCTTCGCTGCTGGAAATAGCAGTGCTGGTATAAGGGTCTCCCTTGGATGCCCTGTTAGCTGTCCACTTCTGACTGTACCTTCCCCTTCTCCATCTCCTTTTTACTACACACACACACACACACACACACACACACACACACACATACACCCCCCCACACACACACACACACACCCCCCCCCCCAAAGGCTCTGAAGGTGGTTGAAGTGTAAGGATGAAGAACTGGTTGGTAGTAACTTCAAAAGGTTTGATTTCTGTCCTAATGAGTAGCACTATTCCTAAGAAGGCAAAAATCATTTGCTAAAATGGTGAGACACTGAGATGGAAGAATTTATTCAAGGAAGTGATTAAAAAAAAAAAACTTACGTTCAGGTGTCTCTTGGAGAATACATCGATATTAATAGGAAAAAGGTCAGAAATTTGAAGAAAATCCCACTAAGTTCTAGGCCACCAGTTAGATATATCTAAGCTATAGTGTTAAATGAGACTGTGTAAAATTAGACTGATAGGTTTCACAAACCACACACTGCATAATTATGTTTTAGAGAGCTGTAGTGACCCAAACGAAAACAATTGAATCAAGCTAATACTTTAAAAGGTCTTTAAAATATTGCTTTCGGGGCCAGCTGAGTGGCTCAGTTGGTTAAGAGCTCGCTCAAGAGTGTGAGCTCTGAGCAACAGGGTCACTGGTTTGATTACCGGCCTGAGCTGAGCTGCCAACAGCTGCCAACAGGTGGCAGGATGGCTCAGCTTTAAAAAAAAATTGTATTTGGCACTTTAAAAAGGTTGAGTATGTTAAATCTTATATACTACTTGTTTAAAATAAAATATCAAATCTACAAAGAGTTTAATCATCTTTCTTCTCATGAAAACAGGATAACTGCCTTACCAACAGGAGTATTGCAGATCTATGATGTTGGCCAGAGGGATGCTGGAAATTATCGTTGTGTTGCGGCTACTGTAGTCCACAGACGTAAAAGTATGGAGGCCTCTCTAACAGTGATTCCAGGTACCCCATAAAAGTTGTTTTTTCAGTTTTTATTGGCCCAGCTATTAACTTTTCTTCTTTGGCTATCATAGTATGCCATAAAAGTAGTACTTTAATTTTATTTAAATTATTGTAATCTACTTGGAAAATGGTCAATTGTATGTATTAAGCAACTCTTCTTTCACAGGTTAACTTGTTTTAGGTTATGTTACTGTCAACATCTTTAAGAAAGATTGAATTTTTTTGGTAAATATTTTGCTGTTGTTTTTAAAATATAAAATACATAAAAAGTAAAAAAAAGAATGACAATCATCCATTTCCACCAGAATTGTTCACTGTCAGTGAAGAGATAACTTGTTTCCAGTTTGGTATTTTTTTTGTTTGTTGTTTTAAGAAAAACCATAATTTGCATTTGTAAAAATAATGCGTGCTTATTATAAAGAGTAATGTCTACAAAAGAAAATATATATATATATAAAAGTTTTTACATTAAACGATGTAAAAAAGTACAAATATAAGTTTTAAACTATCCCCAATTCCAATACCCAAAAATTATCATTAACATTAAGTGAACATAATTTTATATATTTTGCCATACATGAATATAGTTAGAAGGGAAACTAGATAGAGACATGAATATGAAGAAAGAAATGTATATTTTATTAATATATAATTATACATAGATGCTAGTTTTTATTTTGAAATAATTTAAATTTAATTGAATATAGTGAAAGAAAGCTTGGACTAAAAACATGTTAAACTTCACATGAATGTTTTACTCTTCACAAGAGGGATTACTTCCCAAAAGACCGTTTAAGGTTAAAAAGTTTTTTGAAAAAAATTAAGAGATTGAAATTATATTTTTAATGCTATGTTTTAATTTTAAGTAGCATTGACTAGCTTTCTGATATGAAAGATAAAAACAAAAGCACTCTCATACTTCTTTCTTTCTCCCCACTGACCCATGAATTGTTGATAAGATTAGTGAAAGTATTAAATGAATGTTTGAACCTCAACAAACATGAAACAACCTAAATGTCCATCACCTGATGAATGGATAAATTAAATGTTCTATTTATATAATTAAATATTATTCTATTGTTCAATAAAAAGAAATGAAGCACTGATACATGCTACAACATGGATCAACCTTGAAAACATTATGCCAAATTAAAGAAGCCCATCATAAATGACCATATAATCTATGGTTCCTTTTTAATGAAATGTGTAGAATTGGTAAATCCAGAGAGACAGAAAATATAATAGATTAGTGGTTGCCAGGCTATGGGGAGAGGAGATTGAGGAGTGGCTGACTGTTAATGGGTATGGGAAGGGCTGATCAAGTGGCTCAGTTGGTTAAGAGCTCCCTCAAGAGTGTGAGCTCTGAGCAACAGGGTTGCCAGTTTGATTCCCAGCCCAGGCTGAGCTGCAGCTGAGCTGCCAACAGGTGGCAGGATGGCTCAGCTAAAAAAAAAAAAATCATGTTAATGGGTATGGGGTTTCTCTTTAGGGTGACGAAAATGTTCTAAAATTAATTGTAGCAATAGTTGCACAGCTCTGAAAACACGAAAAACAATTGAATTAAACACTTCAAATGAGTGAATTATGTATTATGTGAGTTATAGCTCAGTTAAATTGTTTTGAAAAAGAAAAAAGTGAATAACTTAATAATAGATATTTTCACTCATTTCACTAATTATATTTTACTTATGATTTATTTTTATATTCTGCCTTTTCTCCCCAAAGCTAAGGAGTCTAAATCCTTCTACACACCAACCATTATAGCAGGTCCACAGAACATCACAACATCTCTTCATCAGACTGTTGTTTTAGAATGCATGGCCACGGGAAGTCCCAAACCAATCATTTCTTGGAGCCGTCTTGGTAAGTCTTCTCAGGGGGAGAAAAAGTATTTTCCTTCAACTTTGTTTATTCTAGTGAAGATGATAAAATGTTTATATACAAAATACATGTTTGGCAATTAAGTGGCTTTTAACTTTTTTCATTTCAGTGTGTAGAGAAAAGGTTTAAATATAGAGAATTTTATACTTTTTATGATAGGATTGTTTGGAGAGTGATTTTTTTTAAACCTAATTTTAGATGATAATGTTACATTGTTTTAACTGAAGTATTCTCTTTGAAATAGACCACAAGTCCATTGATGTCTTTAATACTCGGGTCCTTGGAAATGGTAATCTCATGATATCTGATGTCAAGTTGCAACACGCGGGAGTATATGTTTGTCGGGCCACTACCCCTGGCACACGCAACTTTACAGTTGCCATGGCAACTTTAACTGTATTAGGTACGTTTTCTTTCATTCTGCAGTCAGGAGAATCTTAGATTTTAACATTTGCTGTTTCATCTCATTCATAGCTTACTTGTACCTTTCCTGAATTTTGTAGCATTAATATGAAGGTTGATACGAAGTATTGTAATCTAATGATGAATTATAGGAGAAAAAAAAATCCTACCGTATTTGCCGGCGTATAAGACGTTTTTTGGCCCTGAAAAATATGCCTCCAAGTGGGGGGTCGTCTTATACGCCAGGTACACTTCAGATAGACTGCCCAT